ACAAGTAGAATCTGTATTTTCCAATTTTCCGCTCACAGAAACAATCTGATTCCTGCTCAGACACATGTAGAACATCAGTACCAACCTCGTATATGAAAGAATTGTTACTGAGATTCATATTTAATCTATATTCAACAAAGATATCTTCAGATGGAATGATAGGGTTGCTATGGGCTCTCCCTATGGCCCACTTTTGGCAGATTACTTCATTTCCCGTTTGAAAAAAGGAAACGTAAAGTCAACATATCCTGTGGGGCTAGGCAAATAGTTCGTTCTATCTCCACCCTTTCAAATCGTGTTAGAGAACGCTACTCAGAATGATTTGAAAAAGACGACACTGCCTCAACCACATATTCCTTCATATCAATGCATGGAAACAACTGTAGGCAATAATTTGATTGAGAAAAAGTGTGAAAATGTCAAACGGTGTAATCATCAAAAGTGTCAGTGAATTCCTAGAAGCCTGATATTCGAATGAATTAGCGATTAACGGATTACATTACTTAGCGTAGATCAAATTTACCAAGTGATAAACGATGATACGTCATATGACAAAAAGGTTCAGATTCCAAGTCAATAAAAATGATCAATACTGTTGGTAATTAACAGTGAATCATGACAAAGGGCATCAGGAGATAAAGACAATGACACCATTATTCACAGAGAATCCAAATAAATTCATTTTACATAGACGTTTGCGCTGCAGCGATACTATCCTGAAGGACAACTTATAGAAGGCAATGAGATCAAAATCACTCATCTGAGCTACAAATCTTCTCTCTTATTTCAGAATTAATCCAAGTGTAAGAAGAGCTACCAGTTCCTATGATTCGCCTCAAAATTGAACTTCTCTTTCACACAATTTTCGATATTTTCACCACCTCAAGTAAACATTTTGTTTACCTCTTTCGCATTAGCAATGATAGCCAAACTGACAAGAGGTTGTATCCGTTTAAATCGATAAAACCACTGGACTGTACAATAGGTATAGGCAATGCACCTTGTAACATTGAAAATGAGTTAGATTAGAAAGTCAAAAATTAATTAATTTTGATTATTTAGATGATTAAAAGTAGGCTGAGAAAACCTGTAAAACAAAAAACAAACAAACAAATAAAATCCCACTTCATCGTGCTGATGTGGTTGTTGTTGTTTTTGTTTTCGGTTTCATGAATCACTGCTAAATTCCTCTATAGGAATTGATCGCTATTTCTGCTTTATGAGCTGACTGTGTGTTAATGAATGGACATTTCTGTTAATAAAGCTGAATTAATTGACTTAACAACTTACTGATACATTCTGAGTAGTATATATTTGTCCCCATTAAAATGGTAAGAAGAACTAATTATAACTTTTACAAGACATTCTGAAGGAAAAACTTTGGAGGAAATTAGGTGACGAAAGCTACTGAAGCATTAAACTTTCGACTTATATGCTTTCACAGTAATCTTGCACTAAATTCGTTATCATAGATCCCTTTGATTTCCTTCCTGGAACATAAAACTTCACTGACATATTTCCATCTCACCTTGTTCTCTGTAGTCCTGTTTACCCAACTCATCAAACAACCTCTTCCATGTCATCCAAGGATCAAAACAGAAATTGTTGTTTCTTATTCATTTTCTACTCAACGTCTAGTCTTGTTTAAGGTGACATCAAACAGTTTCCTTGGAGTGAAACCATGTCAAAATCACTTACGATGACTTTGGAATATTTGTTGAATAATATATTCCACAACATTTCTTGCTCTTATTCACGCCAAGTAAAATACTAGGCGGTGTCATTCTTGAAAAAAATGAAAGATACACTGGATGCAGAACTCCGCCACCCACAGGAACAAGCTGGTTTCAGGAAAGGCAAATCATCTGCTGATCAAACCGCAACTCTACACATCGTCATCACAGAACAGAGTATAGAATGGCAGTCATACCTGTACTTCAAGGTCATCGACTTCACAAAGGCCTTCAACAACATTGATCCAGAAGCAGTTCGGAAACCACTTCAACACTACGGCGTGCAGTGCCGAAATCTTTATCAACCTCATCCAGCATATGGTCATATGACAATGCCACGTGTCAGGTGATCCACAGCGGAAATCTCAGAGAGGCGTTCTTAATGAATACAGTAGTGAGGCAAGTCTGCCTATCGTCACCAACAATGCTATTCCTAATTGTGGTAGATTGGATTATGCGTTAGACTGTGGGCAGTGAGAAGAAAGGAATATAGTGGACCAATGAGAAGACTCGAGAAAATATGGATTTTGCAGATGATGCATGTCTAATATCACAAAAACCCGAAAAATTGCAGGCGAAAAGCAACAAACTGGCTGGAAAAACAGCCAGCGAAGACGGGATTCCAGGTGAATATAAAGAAGACGGAGGTAATGCAAATAACCAACCAACGGTCCTCAACTTATCTAGGAAGCATGGTTGCCATCACAGGTGAAAATGGGTAAAGACGTCAAAATTGGGAAGGCGGGATACTTCTTCGTCAATCTGAAGCCATTTGGGAAATCTTCTGCACTAACTCAGCAGCATAAACAACAAGATTCGGATTTACAAAACAAATGTGAAGTTAGTCAGTGCTTCTACACGGGCTCGAAACTCGACCAACGTGCCACGAAAACACTTTCTAACAAGGCACTTTAAACCTTTATCAACAGCCTCCCCTTTAGCTGGTTCCATACTGAAGATCCAATGGTCAGCCAGCCGGTCAGAAAGAATTGGAAGCAAGAAACCCTGGCAACAAACCAACAAGCTAGAGCCGATTGCTTAAAAAAATGTAGGAGAAAATGGATATGAATCGAACATACGTTGAGAAAAACGTCAAATGATATCGCGTTCAGCGCAGGCCGTTGCTTGAGTGGAATCTGAACAGGGAGCGACAAGTGGATGATCGGTGCGGTAGTGACACGGAGGTGATAGTGTGACGGAGAGGAGATGAGAAATTAATGTTGGTTGTGCAGCTAGCCAGCTGCTGAAGAAGATGTCATAAAATAGAACAGAGTGGAGATTTATTGTTGAAACCCTATGTTCCACTTGGAACCCTAAGGAATAAGAATAATCATAAATCCCGTAAAAATAAACACCAATGCTACAGAAACTTCACAGGCCTAGCTTGAAGCCCTATGCTCCAGTGGGAACGTGAAGGAATAAACCAATGGGTTGAGGTATATTCCATGTTGAATTAGAAGCTAATAATGGTGACAAATCATAGATAAAATTATAAACACAAATAAATACGAAATGGCTAGATATTAGGTTACACAGATCATTCATAAAATATACACAATTAATCACAGTATATAAATCTGAATAAGACAATATTTTCATTTCACTGGTTTTATTGCTATCCAGTATAAACGTTCCCTTGTGAAGTGTTTGTTTTAAAAGGCCACAAAACATGTACTAGCGACACATTAATGGATGGCACATCCATTCAATTTTATCAGCTAATAGTTATCCAGAAACCTTTATCAATTGTCACAGTAAGGATAAACCACATCTTGAAAAAACAGCTTCCTTATCAAAGAAAGCTATCTTTATTAAAATACAACTCAAGGGTGATCAAATTAAACAGTTAACAGCCCAAAGACTTCGGTTAGACATCAAGAGCACATTCTACGCCGCATCTATTTCTCTCATATTTCGAACATTTTCGATCATTGTACCTACGATTAAAACGCTAAATTCTGTGGACTCTACTTCAGACTGTATTTGCAAGTTCACCTGCAGTTGCGGGGACATCTATATAGGTGCAGCCAACGGAATGTTCCAATGTCGTCAAAGAAACACGTTCCAAAATGGTTGTTAAATTGCATAGAAAGTTTCAACGGAATTAATCCGAATGGAAATCCAGCATCATCCATTGCAAAACACTTATTAATGTCAGGTCATAAAATCAATATTAATGACAGCTTAACAACTATCTCATCACATAACTCTAATTCAAGACTGGTTATTGAAGGTGATGGAAGCACTTTAGGGATTAATCACATACATCCTAAATTATATGTACAAAAAACAATAAACTTCAACCTTAGCCCACCATGAACTACTTGACCTATTCAAATATGACTGGTCATTAGTATGCACTTTTGTTTCATTATGACTGAGTTATTGTCATGCATTCTATTTTATTTTTGTGAACCATGTTAGTTGTAAAGCGACTGTAGAGTCCAAGGCTTCCTGACGATTGCCTTCAACCATACAACAACAACAACTACAATTCAGAGTACATTGTGATGACGAGTCACCTAGAATGCTGGTCACACAGCAGGAAACTTGACTGGTAGAATTCAGTCTGCACAAATGGCATAGACTAGACTCGTGATATTGGTCATTATTCTAGGGCTCAATCAGAAAGTGTCCTTTACAGTCATACAGGAGCTCGGCAACCAGGCGAAATAGCTCAATGGTAACGCCTCTGACTGTACAACAGGGAGACATGGGTTCCTGGAAGAATATGTATACGCCTTGTTGATGAGTGCCAAAGCGAACAAAAGCTAGATCCAGGGCTTCCCACCAATTTTCTCCAATCATCTAACAATAATACAACATTAAAAGAATGAAAATATTCCTATTTTTCCACCGGTTACATTCACAGTAAGACTAGGAACTTTGTGTGGACGCCAGGTTTCTGAACTTAGAAGAAGTAAAACACTAATGGAGGAGAAATTAATTTTAGACAAAAAAAATATTAACGGTTCACCTTCAACCCTATCTAGCATGTATGGTGAAAACCCAACATATGTTCACAAAATATCTTTAATCAGTTTTGCTCAGTATGATGAGATCTCGTCTTTCAAGTAAGTGTTGATCCAGCGAAAGTTATCGGATTTGTTAGCTTGAACCATATTTACAGTAAAATGCAAAATATATTATTATATAAAGTATTCTATGTATTTAAAAATATAAATCCAATAATGTTGTGAATATTTCCATTCAAAAAGAGATTAACATGTTTTATCACTGGAAATAAATTTTGGTGTATTTTTGTAGCCTCAGTTCCGGTGGCAGTAAACTTCTTCAATATGTTGAAAGTTCTAATATACTCGGTAAGTTATATTATAAATATCTTTATAAGCAGTAGCTTCTTTTTACCGCAATCACACTTTACTGACGAGTGATTTCAATAAATGTAGCAAATATGTCATCAAAATAACCACCTATTGAATGTTCCATTCACATCATATAGTGCAAAGCAGATCGCTTTCCACATAAAATTTTGAAATATTATTATCATTATTATTCCGTTGGGTTCCGAGTGGAACATAGGAAGGGCTTAAACAACACCCCTCCACTTTCTTCTGCTTTTAGCTGTCCTCTTCAGTTGGGTCCACGATTGCCCATGATCTCTTATCTCCTCTTGCAACTCTCACGATCTCCTCCATGCCACTGTACTTTTGAAATATAATTCAATCTATTTGTTCAAGTCATCATAGCCTAATTTGATAGCTTGCTGGTCTTCTAGCCAGTCTGAAGCCCAGAGGAGGACTGAAGAGAGCAGCATAAAGTAGAAGAAATTGGAGGTGTGTTGTTGAAGCCCTATATTTTACTTGAAACTCAAAGAAATAGTAATAACTTCTCCAATTAAATTCTGTTGATATATCGGCTGCTAGTACGATGTCTGTAGATTAATGTGACATTATTTTTTGGATTGTGATTGGCAGTGTAATGCAGAATGCTAATTTCGTTCTCTTCAGGACTTATCAGTTGGATGTACCTATAATCTGCAAAGATTCATGCTGTTTCCACGGAAAGTCTGCTGTTTGAAATGATAGGTTAAAGGTTCGAGTTTCACTAGGGATGGTAGGCACATCCAGATGACGAGCTCCAAAACCCGACAAACTGCTCATTCTGGATTATACTGAATGATTAGCAACTGCTTTATGCTTTCGGGTGTAGCTAAATACCACAGCATTATTGTTATTTGTTACATAAAGATGATCAATAGCTGAAGTTATGACCTCCTCTCTGTCTAATTCACAATTTACTAGATACCTTTAGCTGACGTGCAGTAGATGTTCTCTTTAACTATGACTCCGTAGAACCTATTATGCAGCCCAGCTTGTAATTGTCGAAAGAGCTAAAAATATTCTTCACTTCAAACCTCAAAAGTGCACACAATTTACCTATTCTCGTGTGTGTTTGTGTGTGTATGTGGACACACATGCATAGGGAGGAGTAATGGCGCTTTGTATGTGAGGGTGGGAGAGCACATCCTAAAATGGCTATAAAAACAAATGAATTGTGAAAAACCAATAGATGCAGGTGTCAGACTACCAACTTCGTCTATAGCTAAACATCTAATCGAGATGAACCATAAGACTGATGTTTACTCACCCTTTAAGATCATCTATAAAAACGGTCAAGTGCGCTTACCGAAATACGCCGAGGCTATTGCTATTTATAAACTTAAGCCCCCCGCCCCTGCCCCCTGTGTACTCAAAAACAGTTTAATATTGCTCTTAACCTACCTTGGTAATCCTTATTTGATTAGATTACCAAACGTTTGTGTTAATTATTCTTAAATCTTTTTTGTCACTTTGTGTCATTTAATTGCCCTTAATGTTTTTCAAATATATCGGCTTGACTACCAAATTTTCTGTAGTTTGGTTTGTAAGGGTTAGTTATGTTTTTACGAGTTGATCACGGATTGATATGAGTTAGAGAACCATTAAAAAACAACCAGGGAGTGCTAGGCAGCTGCTGTTTCATCCTAGTTTGGAAATCATCAGCAGTACGCACCCACCGGGATTCGAACCCAGAACCTTCCGGTTACAAGGCAAGCTCGTATACCATTCAGCCACTGGGACCCGATTCAATAGCTCATGAATTTTAACTTCTACCAATTCGTGATTTAGCGCGACCCCAACCATTGTCGTTGATGAGGCATCCATCCACACACGTGACATCTAATTGGACCTCATTGGTCACAACTTCTCACTAGAACTCCAGGAAACTCCATCCTGTAGCAAGTCACTAGCGAGCATCAGATTAATTTTCTAGAGTTTGGTTTGTAAGGGTTAGTAAATGTGTGATCAGATTGCTCGAAATGTATTGCGCAAATATATCACATTTTTCAGATCATCTTCGTCTTGTAATAACGCTATCCAAATTTATAAAGGGGACTAATTGTTTTAAACACCCAGTTTATTAATTCTAGTTTCAGCCTCATGTAACCAGTAAAGGAAAACTATTCTATGTTACGTACATTAGGTAGCCCCAATTGCCAGTTTTATTTGTAGTACATTTACTCCACTTGTAGACACCCTGTAACACTCCATAATGCCTCCCAAAAAATCATGATTTATTAAACACTATCTTATCACATATTGCATGCATTAAATTAGCTCCTTTCTTCTGTTTGTTTGTTCCACAAGAGATATCTGTTCTACTTCTTCAATGGCCTTATTTTATGCCTGATTTATCTATACCAAGGTAAGTTGTATGCTTCAATATACAGATGCCAATAAATACTCCTTCATAGTATTGCATGCATAACTTCACTTGTTAACTTTGTTTCAATCGATTACTTTTGCGAGTATTTCACATACCAATAGCCCTACTGTCAGGGTTCGAACCCAGGACTTTCATATCACCAGGTGAGCAGGTATACCGTTCCGCTGCTGGGATAGAATGCAATAGCCAACCAGTCATAACTCCTAGCACTTCATGAAATATATAGCACTCCCCACTTTTTTATTCCTTAAAATTCACAGTGGAACATAGGACTTCAAGCTTCCGGAGCAGTGTTTAGTTTTTACAGGATGGGGTTGCTAGCCTCATCCCCAACCTTTATTCTTTACCAGCTTTTATTTCTGGCTTAGTGAGGTAAAGGAGTGCGTCGGCCGGGGATCGAACTCCAGACCACCTGAATGGTCGGCGAGCGTCCTGACCCACTAAGCCTAACTTAGTGCAGTTCATTGATCACGAATTACCACTAGGACTTCACTGACTTCATCCTGTAGCCAGTCGCTGGTGAGCACCTGATTAGTTTCCAAGTGTATGACTGCGTGGATTTGATTGCATTGAACATTGATTATGAATCAAATTCCCTTGAGCACCACTGAAAACTTGCAGGGAGTACTGGAGAGTTATTTCGTCTTTATTTAAGACTCCTCAGCGTTGGTGAAACCAGGTATAACCTCAAGGTCCCGGTTTCGAGCTCTGTCAGAACTATGGGTTTGTACCTCTTAAGAGTCCTAAAGGGGACGAAACAAGTGTCTGGGACTACTAGCCATTTTTACTGGCTCTGTAACTGATGTCAGTATATGATCAGGGCTGAAAATGATGTTTATTAGAGAATGTAACATAAACATACGTTTCTTAATTTGTTACAAAGAAAATATGTAATTGTGACTTTTGGTTGAAAGCAGCACTCTGCAAAATGTTTGGAATAAGTAATCATGTACACTCTGTCTCCACTAAATAAATTTTTCGAGAATTCGTGAAGAAAGTGCCCCTAGTCAATTAACATTGAATAAGGCTACCCTAGATAATTCATGGATGCACTTGTACTGGTTCTGAGGAACTAACGGATATATTGAACAATATCCAATAGTGAGGCATTTTGAAACCTCCAGTTTAATTTTTCAAATTACTCGGCTATGCCACTTTGTTCGATGAAAAACTGATGCCTTTATTATTATTATTATCATTATTATTATTATTATTATTATTATTATTATTATTATTATTATTATTGTTTCCTTTAGTTCCTAGAGGAATATAGAGCTTCATCCGGATACCTTTATTATTATAAAATATTGTATATCACTATTATTAACGGAATATCTTCACCTTCTTTCTTTACTAGATACTTAAACTGTGGATATTTATGGTATTCCGTAGCCAAAATTATATCGAATTTAGTTATCAACAATAGTAAGTTGTATATTTCAAATCTTTCCATATTATTCTAATTCTAACGATTATAAAATTGATGGTAGTTTTATCATTCCGTCGGCCATATCTTCAAGATCTTTGTCAAAGTATACTTTAAAGTGATTAGGAATCTCAAAATCTTTTTTCCGATTTATTTCAACTGTTAAAAATGTTTCCTCATTAGAATTTAAAACATCTCATAATTCTACAACTTCGTGTTATTTAATCCTACTACTTAAATTTAATTTAGTAGGTAAATCAAAATTTGAAAAAAACCTGATAATTTTGTCGTAATATTCAGGATGATGGGTTGATTGAGTGAAATAATTATGAAGGTTATAAAATATAGTGATCATAAATCATGTGCCACAAGTCACTCAGAGAGATAGATATCAACTATTGAAAACGTGGATTATATTGGATGAAAATGTAAAGCTGGGCTGGTATTAAAATTAGACGTGTTTATCGTCAAATTTCCGAATACCTTCCTGCGTGGTTAAATAAGGTAGAAACAAAGTCCATTCATTGTTCTATACTGCAGCATCTCGTAGATATAGAACACAAAATTGCTAGAAACAAAGCGACTTTCAAAGTCATCTACTGTATACCAACTAAGTTTAATTTTAGCTCAACAGTTCGTCTATTACATATTGCTGAGGCTGGCTGTAGGAGTCTACATTAGGAATTCCAACCTGTGTCCAGATAAGAAATTGGTTCAGACGCTTTACTTACTTTGTAAATTTTCCTAATTTTATTTTATATTCTCTTGAATATTCTACTTTTAAGAGTACTGTTACTTATTCATCTTTATTGAAATGTATTTCCACGGATCTTGACAATTTCGTGTAGCTTAAAAAAACCAATATTGTTAATCGCGATTACTGAATGGTTTACGTATATATATATATACATATATATATATATATATATATATATATATATAATATATATATATATATATATATATATATATATATATATATATATATATATATATATATATATATATATATATATATATATATATATATATATATATATATATATATATATATATATATATATATAGAAGTAGAGGTGGAGGAGAAATTTATCGAAAATAATACTTATGGTCTTCGAAATGTCTGAATGGGTATTTTCGCTATGCAGATTATAAAGGATAACCTAAGAATCAACTTATTTATCATTTATTTTTTGTTTTTGACTTCCTGAGTGCATCGTAGAGCTTGAAGCGGAAGTAATGTTATTCTGTCACTGGGTGGAGTTTCCAGCCTCACGCCCAACGTTCTGTCTCTTCTCGCCTTACTACCAGCTCCGTGAGGGTTAACAGTGCTCTGGCTAGGGTTCGAACCCCTGATTACATGAGTGTTGGCAAGCATTCTACCACTGAAGCATAGACACAAATGTAAATCATTTAGGCCAGAGTAATAATGCACGTTTTTCTTGAATACAGCAATAATTACTCTACACCTTCAAGCACTAATCACTCCTCACGAAAGGATACAGCTCTAACTCCGACAACTGTTTGAATTATTTTTCTTCATAAGTCTTCTCAAACTCAATATTCACCATATTACATGTTATCTATTAAATATATTGTTCCCTTTGGTCCCGAGTGGGACAGAGGGCTTTAAATGCACCCCCTCTCTAATTTCATCCTGCTTTGTGCATTCATCCATAAGCTGTCGCCTCCTTTTGACACGATCTCCTCCATGCTACATTCGGACACCCGGCCTGTTGTTTCCCATTCGCGTCCTCTCGGAGGGTTTGCTACATAATGTCAATCTACGCCCTGTTAAGCGTCTGTTCGATTCATCTTCATTTTCTTCGAAATGTTTGCTGGGCAATAAGATCGTTACCGCAGTCCCTCGTTTCTAATACTTTCTCACTATCTAATCGTTAATATCAAGCTGTTGAAGGCGATTGTTGATAAAAGTTTGCAGTAGCCTGTAGATTTCTAGACTGATATCGAAGTAATGAAGGCCCATCTTACCTTTTCCGTTCCCGTTGGGTTCGACATTCTCATCCATGCCAGCGACGTAGTAGGTAAAAGAAACAACTTCTTTCAAATGTCTGCCACTGATAGTGATTGGTGCTTGTTGTTGTTGTTTTTGGCCAGTAGGACGTCTTCATAATCTTTGTCTTCTCGAGTGTTCACCTGAAGTTTTTTCCTCGCTGGCTGTCTACCTCTTCAGACAACTTGTTGATTTTTGCCTGTAGATCTTCGGTTTTATGTAACACTGGAGAAGTCGTTTGCAAAGTTCAGAGCTAAGTACTACTTTACATATATAACCTCAAAGAGTCTTCTGCAAATATGCAGATAACTACAACACTATGAAGTGTAAGAATGTATTTCTCAGAGATCTAAGGTGGGTAATACACCTCCATTGAGTGAAGTTACAGACGAAGAGAACAGCAGTGAACCAGTCTCTTGAGAATCAGATATATGAATAATCCACAAGATGTCCACATAACTTGGATACCTTTCCTGGCAAACTGAACTGTTTAACTTTGCACCAGATTGTAGAAACATGCATGATTTACTAATTTTTTTCTAAATAATAATAGCTTTATTTCACGAAAAATACCCATTGAGTCATGAAGAAATTAAAAGACAGATTCAGCCAAGAAAATTTTCTTTATCGATGAAATCATCTTCAGAGGCTGGCTGTACAGTCGTATTTATACTTAGAAAAATGTATAGTGGTCTATTATTGAGTAATAGGGGGGGTGACATAATTGATATAATTACTCAGAAGTGGCTTTAGAAGTGAAAATTAAAAGTTGTAAATTACATGGTACTCCACAGAACAAAGATAGAAGTTTGATAAGGTTAAAATTGCTCTTGAGTGAGAATAAAGGTGGTAGTTGAGTGTTAATTTAACAAGTGTGAAGAGGGCGTGAAAATAAACAAAAGGAGTATATGAAACTAATAATGGTGAACTAATTATTCAAGCAAAAGCAAACTAAAAGTAAAATTAAAATTTAAGAACAAAAGAAAAATCAAAATTTTTTTACAGGGAACGATTAGTGAAGAGGTTAAGACCAAGGTAGAATAAGAGACTGGACAAACTTTTTCTGTATACAGAGTTCAGGGTTGTATTGGTGAATTGCCAGCGCCTCCGCCATACACAAAAGCCGAAACCTGACGCCCTTTGTACCATTAGACTTTACTTTGTAGATGATGTTGAAAAACGACTCTGGTGTAGCTACGTGACCTGATTTCACCAAATGCTCGAAAATTGAGCTAGTAATTGTCTTGCATTGTCCCTTTGCTAACCATGCCGGATAATGTTCAGAGATGCGTTTGGAAAGCGTGCGCTTTGTGAGGGTGGCCAATATAACTAGCTCCACACGAACAGGTGAATTTATAAACACACACTGAGGTGGCTCTAAGCGGCAGCTTATCCTTCACACATCTGTTGATCATTTGTCGGCTGTAGAAACTGATACGTACCTCAGCCATAAAGAAGGCTTTCCTCAGTGATCTGCATAAGCGATTCTTCTGGATCTCAGCTCCAGTAAATAATAATAAATAATAATTTTCCTTCACGTTCCCAGTGGAACATAGGGCTTCAAGCCATTGGTTTGAAGTTTCTGTAGCAGTGTATATTTTTACAGGATGGGGTTGCTAGCCTCAAACCCAACCTTTCCCCTTTACCAGCATTATTTCTGGCCCAGTGAGGTAAAGGAGTGCGTCGGCCGGGGATCGAACCCCGGCCCATGTGCATGGCCGGCGAGCGTCCTAACCGCTATGCCACCGACGCACTGCAGCTGCAGTATCACCTTTAAATTCAACACTCATAAAAAGCAGTTTCTTCGGCACCGTCTGAATTCTTTCAGGCTTTTCTCTTAACTTCGTGTTTTTCTTGATAAATCTTGGAGGATATCCATTCTTTATGAGAACTTGTCTGAGTCGCTCCAGTTCCCCATCGATTGTTTCACTTGAACATATCCTCCTTATTCTTGAGGATAAGAAATGGATTAGATTTCTCTTTCTTCTTAAAGGGCCCCAGCTATGGAAATTTGTGTACTGACCGTTCCATGTTGGTTTCCTGTAGATCGATCTTTGAAGAGAACCATCAGATCTCCTCTTTAGAAAAACATCCAAAAAATGGAATTCCGAATCAATCTCTGAAAATAGTACTTTGGTACAAATAAGGAATTTTCAGCATGTAGTAGTACAGTAGGGCATCTAATTTTACCATTACAGGGCTAATAATTAAAATAAGGCATTTACATTAATAATATTGTCCAGTAAGAAATGAATATAAAATTAAATCAAGTGAAAGTATTAACAACAATGTTACAGTGAGAATAAACAAATGCTGTTTACTTAGAGTTATTCAGTAAATTGGTAGTGTCTCCTGTCTTACACCTTTCTCATTATATACAATGTGTGCTGAAGAAGGTATCGTATATATAAGTATAAAACTTAGGTACTGTGGTAGAGTATACCTCCATCATAGATAAGACTTTATTTTGATAAATCACAGAGTGTTATACGTTAATATTAACTGATGACGTTTCGATCACAAATTATCGCTCATAATCATATCAAGTCACCCACACAACTTTCTAGCTTCATTTATATACATGAGTAAAAAATGATTAGACAATTAATTGTATATTATTGATAACACTCTAATATTATTTCTCAATGTACTTTATATTGTATTGATTTTTATTCAAATGTCTAATCAGTTCCACTCGTGCATATTAATGAAGTAAAACAAAAGTAGTGTGAGTGATGCCTTGAGATGATTATGAGCAATAATTTATGCTCGAAAAGTCATCAGTTAATATTACTGCATAACACTGTGTATCGTAGAGTTTTTGTACTTAGTCGTCCAAACATACAGTCTTCTATAGTTGCTCCTACTTCTAACCAATGAGATGTAAGGAGAAAGTTTTGTATACTGAATGTAAGCGCAATATCGCTTGAAATTAAGTCACGCGTAGATAAAGGCTATCCCGGTCCAGAACAAACAAGAAGCCGGTCACTGTTTCTACGGTACTATTAATGAACAAATTAATAATTATATATATACAACAAACCTTAACGGTTTCAAGAGTACAAAGCACAACGCTTAACAGAAAGCAAGGTACCGCTATCAGAGCGGAATAACGCTAAAGCCAAAATTGCGAACTAGCCGGAATCAGACACAACCGTTCAGATAAGCAGTCAGTAGAAGAATGAACCCAAGTAAGGCAAGGCATAGAACAGAGAGCGGTTAAGAGATAGACCGAGCATAGGCACAAAGATAGAATTTAATTGGCTACCTAACCAGGTAGGCTGATACAGATGAGTATCAAGAAATAAGATAAACTCGACAGAATAGTACAAAGTAAGACAAGGATCAGCAAAAAATAACAGTTCACAAAGTACTCTGATTGGGTCATGAGTTCAACTGTCTGACTAAACGGATCGAGGTAAAAACACATACACACAGTTCATTAAACAAGGGGGGATAGACACGTTAGGCATGGATAATTGGGTTGTAACAACACTAGGCTGATCCGGTGGGACAGGTTGATTTGATTCAAGGATGGGAATTGAATTGATCTTACACTGAGAATGTTCAAAGTGTGACACAACAATATTTGCTAATTTCTTGAAGGAATGCAAGTGTCTATCTACAATAGTATTAACAAGTTGTTTTGGCAACACCCTGCTTCTTCTATCTGTTTTATTTCATCATTTAGGTTTTTTATTGTACTACTTAGTGCTACTGCTCGGTTTGTTAGACACTTAACTAAGCCACCTGCCTTGACAGACAGATAACAGATGAAATGAATTAAAGTCGAAATATCTATTACAATGCGTTGGTTTTTTTTATAAAAGCTAGTGTGCAGTTTACCATCTTCTGTTCTATTTATTTTACAATCTAACAAATGAACAAGGAGAACTAGCTATGTTAGATTGTAAAATAAAACGAATAGAAGACCGTAAACTACACACTAGTGTTCATAGAAAACCAACGCATTCTAATAGATATTTCGACTTTAATTCATCTCATTCGTTCACTGTTAAGGTGGGCTTAGTTAAGTGTCTAAACAAACCGAGCCATAGCACTAATTAGCACAAGAAAAGACCCAAATGATGAAATGAAACAGATAGAGGAAGGGTTGGTGTTGAATAATTATCCTGTAAAATTCATTAGGAAGATCAGCAAAGGCCAAAAACAAAATAAAAATAATTGTGGAACTAGTAATGATAACATAAATAAGAGAGAATATAAGGCATCCACGTTATACCATATAAGGAGGGGACATCCGAGGCCCTACGTAAGATTCTCAATAAAGAAGGAATTAGGGCAGTATTTAAACCTAAAAGCTCACTCAGAGACAAGCTCTGTAGGCTAAAGGACACCGAGGACCCAATTAAACAAAATAATATAAATTACAAAATATCTTGCAATGACTATGAGTGAGGTCAAACTAGTAGGTCGGGGGTAGTCAGATTGTGGCAACATAAGAATTTAGCTAAGATAAGAATGGTTAACGCCGAGTAGATAAGTAATTTCAAAAAAGCTCAGCATTTGCACTCCATGCACTAACACAGAGCAAGGTGGGAGAGGGTTAAAATTCTAAGAAGTAATATAGGTAGGTGGAGAGGAGAGAGCAGTTGATTACTGAATCCAGCCTGGTTCATCGAGTCTACACCTAACGCGTGCAATAGGAATGACTCAACACTCATACAAGAAATATGGAAAATACTGCTACCAATCAAATCAAACGATGGAAAATAATGGAACTATATAAACGAAGTTGGAAAGTTCTGTGAGTACCTTGATATGATTACGAGCAGTAAATTATGCTCGAAACGTCATCAGTAGATATCACTGTGAAACACTGTGAGACTTTATCAAAGTTAATTTTTTCCCAGAATGGAATTACACCCTACCACTGTGCACAAGTTCTATTCTTAAAGTCTTTATGCTGCTCCGCTAGTCTGACTGACCCTGTTCCACTACTTTGACCTATGTATATGACCTGACAATCATTGCAGGCGGGGTATCGGATAAGGTCAATTGCTTTGTTTAATTGGCTCCACAGGATTGATCACTTAACCGACAAAGCTTATTTCTAACTGAGTTTGTGGGTGATTTAATGCCAACCACTGTTATTCCTGCCTTGTTAAGAATTCTGCGTAAGGTTTTCGAAGTTCCTTCCTTGTATGGAATTACTACTGATGGTTTTGATTCCTTATTGTTGGTGTTGTCACTATTCTATGCATGTTTAACCTATATGTCGTCATTAATAACATTATCATCACTATCACTATTATCATTATCTATTTTATGGTGATCGGAAGTCCAAACATCTGTTTGAATGTGTGAGTCTCCTATAACCACTAGTGTTTAACTTCTTATCTTCTTTGCTTTTTACTCTACAATCTAGCATTGGAAGCTCCCCTTCCTAACTTTACAATTCATAAGTAAATTGAATTGAAAATTATACTGCTCCTACGACAAATAGGAAAGAATGAAGGAAACCTTAAACCTCAAGTTTCTAAGCTGTATGATTATTACTGACATAATTATAAACAATAAGTTGTGTTCGAAACGTCATCCAGTAAATAATAATACTGTTTCATCACTCTGTTTTACACTGATCAACTAATATGAAATTTAAATATTAACAGAGCACCCAAGTTCTTCAGTTCAGATTTGATCACAGATTGATTTCATTGAGGGAACCCCTTAAAACCAGGGGGTTTTCTAGCTGTTTCCTCCTAGTTTGTAACTCTTTGATAGTGCCTACCCAATGCGACTCGAACGCAGGAACTTCACGTTACAAGTCAGGATCATAGACCATTCAGCCACTGGAAGTGAAGCAAGCAACTCAACCTCTCATAAACAACACACAGACTTTAACTACAGAAAGTTCAAACCCCTGTGTTTCACTTCGAATTCAAGGGATGAAAACGATTATATTTGTATTGAACGAAATTTGAAAAAAGATCGATTAAACACAATATCATTTTTTCTTCTTTTTCTTTGTTTCCTGTAGAATGTTTTGATGTGAAAAGTTTTTATGGAAGTAATACAAGTGGATTTGAACAATATGCAAGAAAATTTTTATTTGATTCAAACATACTGGTGAGTTGGCCTGAGCTTTTTCTGCTTGAATTTCATTCTTCTCTCTGAAGTTATCTTTAACCAGTCCCTAGAGTGCTCATAATCTCTCGTATCCTCTTCATCACACAGTATCCTTCACACTACTCTTGGACCTATTACTAACTCGTCGTTCCTTACTCGGGCGTTTGTCAAACGTATTATATCACTCAGTGGTCTCCTTTTATTTCTGCAAAATTGCTAGCGTATTGCTTCTTGACTGGTCTCTTCCTTCCTAGCTAGGTATCTGATCTTTAGCACCGAGCCAGCGAAGGCAGATGTTGATCAAAATCAGTAGTAGCCTGTTTGAAATAACTCTGGTGGTGAAAGCATCAAATGCGAACTTCGTCTGTTAGTGCTTAGTAGAGAAGATTTTTCAGCTAATTTAAGATTAACGAAAATCGCTCTTGCTCTTGTGATCCTACCTCCCTTCGGTATTGCGGCGATGTAGACTAGGCAACTGAAAGAAATGACTTCCTTCAAATTTCTCCCGTCGATAGTTAGGTATCTTCGTCACTTCTGTCTTTTCTACATTAGCTGGAAGTCCTATATTCACTGCTAGCCTGTCTCGTCTGCCAGCTTGTTGATTTACGCCTGTAGATCCCCTAGCTTATTTGACATTAAAAATAAAACATTCTTATCAGCCCAACGCATTCGTGTCTTCTCGCTTCCTAAAGGTCTATTGCGTAGTCCAGTACACCACAATCAGGAATATCATCAGTGATACTACGCGTGTGTACTGTCCACCAGTGTCTCTCTTCTCTCCCTTATGGCTCTAAGACACGGCTTTTTACAGTAGGAGATATGGAAAGACTAGTTGTCTTTCATCATAGATGTGTGTCTCTCGTCTTTAGTAGTATAATATAGTGAGTTATACTCAGACTAGGCGTAGAGTGTTAGGTAAGTTTGGTAAGCTGATCGATGAGGTTGTCAAGGGGATTCAACTAAAATGGCACATGAACTTGCTTAGCCATCGTCTTTCTCTACCGGCAACGTCAAACGATATGGAATTAGGTTGGTAAACAGTTAGAGGTGGTCAATTCAAAACTTGGAATGAGTCCATGGAATTTTTGAAAGTTAGCTTGAGCAAAATAGGGAGGCATAATCTGCTTAGTTTTGTCCTCGAGATCCTAAGAACTGATGGCTGGAGATAGGGCTCAAGATCATTGTCACTGGCACAGACGGATTCTCTCTTTCTAACCTACTATATTCATTGTCAAGGAACTTAACCCTATGTTCCTATTGTTCACGAAGACGCTCCAAATCGATAATTACTGTGAACGATTGTCTACTTTAACTCTAAAACACAAGGACTTGTAAGAAAGAAACTGTATTGTTCGGCAGTTAAAATCTTTATCGTACAAAAGTCTATAAACAAATGTTTTACAAGGAATGTACTGTACTTTTATTCGTATTCTTTCGTCTTCTTCCAACTCGCACACGACTGAATCATTCTCACCTTTGAGTTGCCCGCCAACGGCTACCAGTTCCAATAAACAAACGTTCAATGTTCACGTTTATTTACATTCATTAAATAAAGCCAATTCTTTTGAACGTTATTATTTTTCCCCCATATTTCTGCTTATTATGGTATTATATGCATCGGTGGCATAGCGGTTAGCACGCTCGCCGACCATGCACATGGTCCGAGGATGGATTGCCGGCCAGCGCACTCCTTTACCTCGCTAAGCCAGAAATAATCCTGGTAAAGAGGAAAGTTTGGGCATGAGGCTAGCGACCTCATCCTGTAAAATAAACACTGCTACAGAAACTTCAAGCCACTAGCTTGAAGTCCTATGTTCCACAGGGGAACGTGAAGGAAAAAAATGGTACTTTTGAGTCCATTTTCCTCTCTTCTGTCTGCCCTTGAAGTTCAATGTTGAAATTCAGTAAAAGGCAGTCATATATTTGCACCATTCTTTTTGCAGAACCAGCTTCTCCGATTAAAAAACTATCTATGCCTTTAATTTCTATATTTTCTTTCTTCTAAGGATCATTGGACATCATGGTCGAAAACACCGAATATCTTCCAGTCAACTTTGGCTATTGAAATCACTGGGCGAATATATAAAGAATATTTACAAACAAACCAGAATCAACCAGATTCCAATTTACCAGGAATATTTTTTACAACTAAAGAATTATTTTATCAATGGATATTTCAAGTAAGTGAGTGATAACAGTGACAGTTTGATAAGTGTGCCCAGTTCAGTCACCTAACAATGATAGAATTTTGTATATGGAAGACTTTATTCTTGACCTGTACAATCGTATATACAAGAAGCAAAGAAAACAGGATTCCAGGTGAACATAGAGAAGACGCAGGTGATAAAGATCACCAACCGAAAGCAGTAAGCACCGATCAATTTCAACGGGAGACATTGGAAAGAGAGATCATTCATCTAGGAAGCAGGCGGATAGCACAGATGAAGATGTCAAAATCAACCGGTCAGATTCAGAAAGGAAAAATTGCAAATATTCTGCACTAACTCACACAGCATGAAGAGCAAGATTAGCATTATATTCAACACAGATGTGAAGTCAGTCAGTTAGCTCTTCTATGCGGGTCAGAAACTTGGCCAGCAGGTCGTGAAAAAAAAATTTCCAGCAAGCTACTGCAGACTTTTATCAACAGTTACCCATTTAGCTGGCTCCATAATGAATATTAAATGGCAAGCTAGAAAGAATTAGCAAAAAGAAACTCTGACTGGCTGCCTGGGAACAACCCAGCAGGCGAGAGCCGATAGCTCAACAAATATGTGGGAGAAAGTGAAGATTGATCAGGCATACATTGCAGAGGCCATCGAATAATATCGCGCGCACTATAGGCCGTTGCTCAAGGGGAGTCTAAATGGGAAGCGACAAGTGGGTGGCTGATGCGAGGGCAACATGGAGATCGTGTGGCGAGTTGGAGGTGATGAGAGATAATCGGCAGCCGTGGACCCAGATGAAGAGGACGTCGGAAAACAGAAGAAAGTGGAGATGTGTTGTTGAAGCCAGCCCTGTGTTCCACCCGGAACCCAAGGGAATAATAATAATAATGATAAAGAAGTTTCCAAATCACAGATATCAGTAGAAAGTCAAACAGTTCGCCTAATAACTAATATAATAGTTAACGCGAGTAAAGCCGACGCAATTTTAACTTAGTCATATATACATATATATATGCTTCAAAATTTACCCATACAAAACCTATGGATACTGATGTATGCATTAAAACGTTTACATCTTATAAGTCTCATTCTTTTAATTAAATAACAATACCTACTAATCTTAAAATAATACTTTCCACTTTTTTATCATTTTATTCTCCACATTCAAGCTTATCTGTCCTGGATTCGACTACAGCAATATTATAACGTATAATCAAGTTTTATTGAACAGTATGAAAGAATGTGATGCAATTCGTACAGCACTGAAAGCCTCGCCTACATTTAGATGGCTTATGAATTGTCCAGAATTATCTTCATCTTCACATAGGAACAACATTGGCAGTTAACTGTATGAAGCTTATTCAACTGGGAGCTATAAATCAATATTTTTCTATATATAAATACATCCAGTTCAAGAGGTGTCAATATCTGTTTAGACATTTATGTGATGATGATGATGATAATAAAATTATCAGAAATGATTTGTACATATGAAGAATACAGTTGATAAATAAATATTCATTAGACGTTGTTTATTTTATATGAATTGCAGTCAAAACATGGATGGTTAGGGAAGATTCTGATTTATTTTCCACTTCTACAATCATATATCTGTTGGGTTGTTCTCACATTGTACAGTTATGTGAAGATATGGTTTGTGTACTTCAAACAGTGTGTTGAAGTTTCCCTAGCAGTTTGATAGGCTTAGTGATGTAGAGTTGCTAGCCCTGACCCCAACCCTCCCTCTTTACCCCGGCTTGCAACCCACTAGAAAACTAGCAAGCTAGTTAACTAAGGCACTCCTTGTAGTTTAGAAGGGAGAAAAACTACAAGGGATGTCTTCACTACAGATCAGATCAGAGCAAAGTCGGAAACACTATGTAGCATCACTGCGGAAACCTCCGTAGGAGAACATTGGGACTCTGTGAAAGCGATGTTCAAGGAAACGTGTACAAATGTTCTAAGAAGAAAGAAGAGACACGCCAAAAAATCGCCCTCAACAGATACCTGAAAGCTAATAAAAAGAGGAGGATGGCGAAAGAGAAGATGACTCAATGCAAAGGTGGACAACAGAAGGAGAAGCTGAGTTCAATGTACACCTGACTGAATAAAGCAGTAAGGAAAAGTGCTCGAAAAGACAAAAGACAAGCTTCTACAGCTGGGTACCAATCAGTCGAAAAAGAAACCTAATTAGATCTCTTGCTACTTGCATCCGACGCATCTGAAGCTCTGATACCCTGGAAGAAGAATTACACCTCCTGAGAAAAATCTTCATGCAAACCGTTATCCATCAAGATCTACAGATAAAAACATCAAACAGAAAATCCAAAAGCAAGCGACATCATCCGTGTAAAAAAAGATACTTTATATGAACCTCGACTCAGTGATGTCCTTAAGAGGAGAATTTCCACTTCTCTAAGAAGAGCTTTCTTTGCGGCAACATTGAGAGTAGTGTCCTCCAGTCGCCCGCTGATCTGCGGAAGTCCAAAAGACAAGATCTGGCACCTAACCATTTCTATGCATATATGTCAGTTCACCTGATGCTGTGAAGTCAGGTACATCAGTCGTTCGACGCGCATCCTGTCAAAAAGGGTCTAATAGCACTATCCAGTGTGCCTGCAGAGAGGAAGTAGTGGCCGTATAAAGAGTGCAATAATCGAACATCTCGTCACCATTAGCCTCCTCCAAAGTAATCTACACAGTGAAGAACAACCTGCCAAGCAGAATACGTTTCCGTCTTCTTTGAATTGAAGAAGCACTAGCCATTCAGTTGGAAGAACCAGAACTATGTATAGAAAAGAAAATTATTCAACCGCTTTTACTACCATGGTAACAACTCTGTTGATTTGACTTAGCTTCTGCCTGTTTGCTTGATTCGACTTAACTTCTGTTTGTATGCTTATTTTTCCAACTACTTAAAACTCTTGAATAATTCCGTAAGTTATTTTGTTTCCATGTACACTTTGAGCACAACTCTTTCATCAAACTATTGACGTTATTACGTAACTCATCTTTAACAGTCGTTTGTGAAAACTTATCACTTTTGTTACTACCCTCTTATATCAACATGCAATACATCTGAACTTACCAACTGTATCTTCGTTTGTCAAATTTAATATACACATACATACGAAACAACCATATTTATTTGCGATTGTACAGCTATGTAAATGAATTCACCGAAAAGAGACTCTTCGCTGGTCTTCTGCCTACTAATTCTACGACACACTGGCAACTGAAGCAGAAGAGGCAGTGCACAGGCAAAAGACACATCAGGACACTACATCAGATAACCAAGTCTCTATCCGGGAAGAGATCAACGCACATGATGAAGCAATAAGGGATAGTGAAGGAAACCTGATCACCAAGGAGGAGAAACAAATCAAACAATGGGCTGATCACCTTAACGGACTCCTGAATCGATTACCACCGGCAACTCGCATAGGAATACAACCAACAGCACACACGGAAATGCCAACGGACACTATTTCTTCAATGAAAGAAGAAATTCTGAATGCGATTAAGTTACTGAAGGCTGGGAAGGCAGCTGGGTCAGATGGAATTCCCCTGAAGCACTGAAAACGGACCCAGAAACTGTCACAGATGTCCTCGTGCCATTATTGAGAAAGGTTTGGAAGGAAGGAAAAGTACCTACCGACTGGAAGAAAGTCTGGCTACCTTGTCAAGCTGTGACACATGCCTGCCTATGCAAGAACTGACGTGCTCTTGTCCACCAAAGCCAGGCAAAATACGAAGTATCATCATCCTGGAGAGAATAAAGGATGAACTGGATACAGAACTTCGCCCAGAACAATCTGGATTCAAGAAAGGCAAATCATGTGCTGATCAAATTGCAACTCTACGCATCGTAATCATAGAACAAAGCATAGAATGGCGATCAAACATCTACCTCGACTTCATAAAGGCCTTCTACAGCGTTGACTGAGAGGTAATTTGGAAACTACTTCAACACTACGGGGTGCAGTTCCCAGGTCTTTATCAACCTCATTCAACAGCTATATGACAGTGCCACGTGTCGAATGATCCACAACGGAAAATTCAGCGAGGCATTCGAAGTGAACACAGGAGTAAGACAGGGCTGTCTATTATCACCGATGATGATATTCCTAATTGTGGTCGTCTGGATTATGCATCAGACTGTTGGGGGTGATGAGTCAGAAGTACTTTGGACCACCAATGAAAAAACTCTAGAAGATCTGGATTCCACAGATAATATGCGACTAGTGTCACATAAACTCGAAGACTAACAAGCGAATACCAACAAACTGATTGGAGAAGCGGCCAGAGAAGACAGACGGAGGTGATGAAGATAACCAACGAACCGCAACAACAACAACAACAACCATCACCAATCACTATCAACAGAAGAGATTTAACCGAGGGTTCTTACTTCACTTATCCAAGAAGTATCGTTTCAACCACAGGCGAAACGGATGAAGATGTCAATGAAACCAGAATGCGATAGGCAAGATACGCCTTCATCAACCAACCTGAAACCAATTTGGAAATCTTCTACATTCAGCATAAGGAACAAGATTCACATTCTCAACATCAATGTCAAGTCGGTACTTCTATACGGGTCAGAAACTTGGCGTGTCAGGAAAATGATTTCCAACAGGTTTCAGACTCTACTCAACACAGCTGCCTTCGCTTGCTCCATACTGTAGTCAGTCACTAGGAAGCTTTATATCACTTATAATTCTTAAGAATAATCAAAAATACTGTAATAACAAATACTGGCTGTATACATTCATTATTTGCTGACTCTGATATATTAGCTATTACAGGCCAATTCACTAAACCTAAAAATAATCATTTCACCGTATACAGGTTTCTATTGTCCCTTTGTGAGTATTTTAAAGCCTATAAATTAGAATTCTTTTGATTATTATTATTACTTTTAGTGTTTAGAATGGAAATAATGTCACACACTATTTCCAGTGGTGTCTCTATTCACTCGATATTTGTGTATATAAACCGAAGATCAACAGTTGACCTCACTCTCTCAAAACGGTGGTTCCTTGCTCAATCATGACATCAAAGAGTTAAGAGTTTCTTCCCGACCCCCCCCCCCATTAACAGATAGGTATTGACAATTGAAGAGTTTCACAGTGGTAAAAATAGTTTTCTAGTCTCTTTCGTACTCATCTGTCTCCCTGTTACGAGTGGAACATAGGGCTTCAAGTGACAGCTTTGAAATTTCAGTGGGTTCGGTTATACTGCATAGAGTTGCTAGTCTCATGCCGAAACTCCCCTCTTTATACCAGATGTACTACCAGATTATAGTGAGGTTTAGAAGCGGGTCGACCGAGGATCAAACTACGCACTAACTGCGTGGTTGGCGAGCATTCTGTCGCTGAACCATCGACACACCATTTATCGCCTAGTGAATGAGATTTCGAAGTCAATACCCAGTAGATAGTTTATGCTTGCAATAGGTGATCTGATAATAGGCTTTTAAGGAAATTCGATATGTAGGCCCAAAACAAACAAACGAATACAATATAAATAACAACGATTACACTGCAAATTAGTGATCCAATAGTAGAATACTCGTCAGCTATACAAAAAGTCCCAGTCTGACTATCAGTCGACTAGTTTACTTATTAGTCAGCCGATAGAAGGCACAGAAAAGGTTGTATGTCAGACTAGAGATCACACCCGGTGGAAAGAACAACAAAGCTACTGAAAACTCAAAGCATAAAGCTTCATACTCCACTGAGGAAACCCAAGGTATGCAGGAAAATACTACTACATCTCAGCAGAGGTGGGAGACTAGATGAGACTGACGATCAGCTGGCTGGCGAGAAAGAATTAGCAACCAGAAACTATGAGAGAATGAACCAACCAAGAATCTACTGCTTAACAACAAATATTCTGAAGAGAATGGAGATGGATTTGAACACACGCTGAAGAAACCCACTGGGGGGGGGGAACATCGCGTCCCAGGTCATCACTCGAGTGGAACCCGATTAGGGAAAAGTGAGTCGGACCCTGGTCTGAGAGTGAAAGAACAAAATCTTGCGAAGAGGAGATGAAGCATAATGTTGTCAGTTGAAAAGATACCTTCTTCACTTGCCACTTTCAACTGGCAATCATCCTACACCATTGAATGACCGACACACCACAACCACAACCAGACGAATATCTGTCATTCAAAAGAGATGGAAGACCAAGTAAGTGTAAGTTGCAGTGGTCGTACTTGTTAGGCCCACCTCCAATCAGACTGATCATAAAATCTCGAATTTCGGTTAGGTAATTTAAGAAAGAAGAACTACTGAGCAGTATTCGTTTTGTAATTATATTCTTCTAATAGAGATATGAAACTAAATTCATCCTTTAACACACTACTGTGAATATAAAAGGTACGGGGTAAAAGAGAAAGTACAATTTCATACAAAAATCACTCGGACTGAATCATTTCATCATAATCCCAGCGATACAAAACAGAAAAAAATGACAACCGGGAAGTTTTCGTGAGTGTTACTCATCATCATCTAATTGAAAAACTACAAAGTTAATCATATTATGAAGCGAAAATACACAGAAAGAAGGAAGACATTATTTCACGGATTTCAAAGATAAACACTATTGATTAGAGAAAAGACTACGTGATAGGATCCAACTCACTTTGTTATTGATCAATTATTTCAACGGCTGTTAATCTCGCATAAATGGTATATCATCATTTCCCACGCACTTTGTTATTGATTATTACGATCAATTATTTCAAATGCTGTTAGCTGTCTGTATTGTTGTAAAAATGTATAAATACCATGTGTTGTTTTCCTAAATAAGTTCTTTGTCGTAGTTGTTGTACTACAATATACAGTCACAGGCCAGCCTTTGTCTTTTGATATTTGCGTGGTTCACTGAATCGGAAGGTACCACAAGCAGATAGGCATATTAGTCAGGCGCAGACAGAACAAGGCGACAACGTCCTCATTTAATTCCCTACAGTTATAACAAATTGGCGACGGGGTTTACCTTAATTCATTGCAGTTATAACAAGCAAGCGACGACGGGTTTTATTCTGTTCAGCGCAGCTATAGAACATTTTTGACTGTGTTAATTACAACCCAATTACAATGTCTATCTCTCTGGACGATCTCAAATCTATCTTGCAGCAGCAGCAAGTTCAGAATGAAGCAGCTCAACTAAAATTAATCGAAGCTCTCACTCAGAAGCTGTCCATTCAAGTTCCATCAACATCTCATTCAGACAAATATGAAAGCATCTCAAATTCCATCAGTGAGTTCAACTACGACCCAATATCTGGTCTCGTATTTGATGCATGGTTCAATCGTTACGAAGACGTTTTCCGTATTGAATGCTACATGTTTGATGATGCTGCCAAAGTCCGATTGTTACTAAGAAAACTTGGTACTGTTGAGCACAACAGATATGTTAACTTCATTCTGCCTAAGAACCCACGTGAGTTATCATTCGATGAGACAGTCACCGTTTTATCACAAATCTTTGGTGAACAGTCATCCATGTTTAATATTCGGTATCAATGTTTTCAGTTGACAAAAATGCCTTCCGATGATTATGTCACTTACGCTGGCAAAGTGAACAAGGAATGCGAAAGGTTCAAACCACACGAAATGACATCAGATCAGTTCAAGTGTTTGATTTTTATTTGTGGGTTGAAGAACCCAGAAGATACTGACATAAGAACTCGACTTCTGTCACTCGTGGAACAAGACCCGAAAATGACTTTACAAATGGTGACAGCAGAATGCCTACGCTTAATCAACTTGAAGCACGATACTGCTATGGTGGAGTGCAAACGACAGTCGTCTGAATTTGGTTCAATTAACACAGTGAAAAGTCCTCCGATCACCGTTAAGCACACAGCACGTCAGTCTCAGAATTCAGCTAAACCTCCTTCAGTGTGCTGGCACTGTGGTTCGTGGCATTTTGTCAAGTTCTGTCCTTTCAAGAAACATAAATGCCGTAATTGTCACCGTTTTGGACATAAAGAGGGTTACTGTCCACCGCAGAAAAATTCTTCGGTGAGGAACAGAAGTAGTCGTTTCAAGCCGAAACAATCTCCTCGAGTACAGACCATTTTCACAACTTCCAAAGTCGATTTCGCCAGCAAACGTAAGTACATTACACTAGGTATTAACGGCAAACATATTCGTCTTCAGTTGGATACGGCATCAGATATCACCTTAATTTCCCGAACTACGTGGCGCAAACTTGGGTGCCCACAGATTCTGCCGACCGAGCATGTCGCTAAGAATGCCTCTGGAGATATACTGAAACTCGTGGGTGAGATAAATTGCCAGGTTCAGTTTGGTGAGCATCAGTTCAATGGTGTATGTTACGTCACAAACTACCATGATTTGAATTTGCTTGGTCTTGACTGGTTAGACAAGCTCCATATCTTCAATGTACCATTAAATTCAGTATGCTCTAATGTTTCGTCCTCACCACATAACGTTGTTCCCGGACATGTATCTGATCAGTCTCTCTTGCAACGCCTGCGTCAAAAGCACGCTTCTGTCTTCCAGGACAAACTTGGTTGCTGCAAATTTACCCAAGTTGTTTTGTCTCTAAAGCCAAACGCGAAGCCAGTTTTTCGTCCAAAACGTCCAGTTCCGTATGCTGCTGTCACATTGGTTGAGAATGAACTCGACAGACTGGAAGCATTGGGTGTCATCAAACCAGTAACGTATTCGCCCTGGGCTGCCCCTATAGTTGTTGTACGCAAAGCAAATGGTTCCATTCGCCTGTGTGCAGATTTCTCAACTGGGTTAAATGATGCTCTAGAGGATCATGCTTATCCATTACCAATTCAAGAAGACTTATTCGTCAAACTTAATGGTGGTAAATGTTTTGCAAAAATTGACCTTGCTGATGCTTACCTTCAAATAGAAGTTGAACCAAAGTCTCGAGAGTTGCTAACAATCAACACTCATAGGGGTCTCTACCAGTTTACTCGCTTACCATTTGGTGTGAAACCAGCACCCGCAATTTTTCAGCAGATCATGGATACTATGCTTGCTAACCAACCTGGTGTTGCTGTCTACCTCGACGATGTGATAATCACAGGGAGTAGTAAGTCTGAATTGTTTGATCGACTTGACGCTGTGCTATCCAAAATGTCAGAGTTTGGGTTCTACCTTAAAGAGGATAAATGTACATTTTTCATGGATTCAGTAAAGTATCTTGGGTTCATTTTTGATGAACATGGACGTCGACCAGACCCAGAAAATGTACGTGCTATTCAGAATATGCCCGCTCCCACTAATGTTGCCACTCTGCGATCTTTCCTTGGCCTCATCAGCTATTACAGTGCATTTCTACCAGAGCTTCATCGCATACGTGCTCCACTGAATCGCCTGTTATCGAAAAATGCAAAATGGAATTGGTCACCTGAATGTCAAAATGCATTTAAAAAAGTAAAATC